TTAAATAAAAGGGTTTGATAAGTACAAAACGATAAAGTTATAGACGTTATACTAAATCCAATATGGCAGCTGCTCCAAGATGGCGGATTACCTTTTTCTTTACAACCCCCTTGTTATGTATATCAAATGAAAGGGCTTGATGAGTACAAAACGATCAAGTGAGTCATACTTAATTTAGCATGGCGGCCACCCCAAGATGGCGAAATATATATTTTTTCACAACCTCCTTGAAATGGGTTTCAAATAAAGAGATTTCTCGAGACGGATACGTGAAGTCAATACAATTTAAAGATGGCGGACTACCAACTAAACAGTCTAAAAAGTAAAAAAAAAATAGTTTAAAAAACTAAAAAACATGTTATAACGCGCTTTTGGGTTACATTTAATTGAAAAGCATTTACTTAAGTATGTAACTTGTACTTATACATGTACTTGTAATTTTAACTTATTTTTTCAAAGGACCCCACGCTTTTTGAAAGTCATTTAAAATTATTTCATCCTTTTATACTTTTTAGTGCGTTAAAACGTGTTTTTTAAACGATTTATTTTAGGTAGGTGGTGAAGTATGCTTTAAAGTCTAGACGTTAGACTCTAACAGCTGTTGGGGGTACGCTAAAAAATACAACAAGATAGAGAAAAAATGCAAGAGACAAATCTTAAAATAATATTTAACTAATAAAAAGGCAGTAGCTTACCCAAATTTTATTTCTTAATATCTAGTTGGGTTTACTAGCGCCGCTTCTGTATTAACTAATTAACTTTAATTACATATGTTTAATATTAAATTAAGCCCTTTACCCATTACAAAAATCCTGTATCTTAAAAACGAAGCTATGAAACATACAGTTTATATAAACTTTTCTTATTATTTTTGCCGATCGATTATCTACTAAATTTTTTCGAATAAAACCTGGGACACCCTGCATATTATAATATTATATTATATTACTATTATTGTATTATTATATTATTAGGTAATAGGATTTTTTTTTTCTGGAAAATAGACTTTTAACTCCTTGTAGTACCTATAGTATTAGGTATACCTAATAGGTACCCATTTACTTATTATAACGTAATTTTGATATGATATGATATGATATGAGTTAGTATACTATAGGTACTACAAGGAGTTAAAAGTCTATTTTCCAGAAAAAAAAATCCAAAGTTTTTAAATTTTGACATAACATTAAAAAAAAAAACGTTGTTAAAATTTAATAAACAGTAATAAGTACAAAATTGCAAAACTTGGTAGTTATGGTAGTTATCACCCTTTATCTTAGCACTGCAGAGGAAATGTCTGATTTTGATGTATTCGTATTGTTTATTTTATTTGTTATGGGTAGCTACCTAGGTATATTGTTTAGAAAAGATAACTTTGTTCAGTGTAAAATTCCGTAGGTTTCTCTAATTTATCTGTTATATGAATCTGAACAATTGAAGTTTAATTAAAATTTGAATTAAAAAAAGTTTGTTACAGAAAATAAGAATTATTATGGAAATATTAAAAAAACATTATCTATAGATATATTTACTACATACAAGTAAATTTCTACTAAATGTGGCCCACTTTCGATTATTAAATTAGAGGACACGCGGCCGACCGCAGGGAAAATTCTTTGGGTACATCGCCCAAAAATATTTATTTTGCCAAATTTTGGGCCTTCTATATCAATATCAATACCTTTTAATTTAATAAATAAATAAATAAAAATAATATCTACCGGTACATATTGGCCAATATTAGATCAAATCTAACAATTATTTTTTTATTAATACTCTTACATTTATAAAAATACGATAACGCAAAAATGAACAAAATTTACCTACTAAAAAAATTCAAAAAACTAAATCAAATAATCTTTTATAGAATCAAAAAATAAACATATAATATATTAATTTATAAATAATATATATCAATATATATATAAATATATTAATTTAGTCATTCAGTAAGGTACCTACCTACTATATTTTAATAACGCATAAAACCTAAGATAAGTAAACAACAGTTACTAGGCAAATCTGGCGAATTAACATAAAAACTAGTCGGGGATTTATCGATGTTTTTCAAACGTTGCCAACTGTTAGATTTTAGATTCCATTACTTATGCACTTTTGCATATAAATATTTTAGTGTTTAAACGACATTTATAGTCCTTTGACACCTTTTAAAAAGGCAATATTTTTAAAATTAAGGCTTTTCTTTTCAAATATAGGACGGTTGGCAACTCTGCTGTAAAGAACACACCACCTTTTAATTGACCAATAAGGAGCTTTGTTTTACTTGGTCGGTAATATTTGTTATATGTATGATCGGTTTTCTGGTTTTGTTTAGTGTCGGTTCGTTAATTAATTACACTTTAGCTTCTTACGAAAACTTCCTTTTGTTCCTGTGATCGTGCTTGAAAAAAGTAAGATGTCTAGAGGTAAAAAAATTATGGATTTAGTTAAAAGTAAATGTAAGTACCAAAAATAATTACAATTTGCATGGTCAGAAATTCAAGTACGGAATAAAAGATTCGTATTTAATATACTCTATACCTATTTTACACTAGGTAGTCGAATTTATAGAATTTAAAACTTTAGGACATCCTGTATATTATATACTACCTATGTATATTATATACAGGATGTCCTAACGTTTTATATTCTATAATTTTGACTACCTAGGTGCATTGCATTATTATAATGATAGTATCAGTGGCGGCTGGTGGATTTTGGGCACACCCATATCTAAGTTATTAGACATGGGACCCACATTAAATTTATATGAGTTTATAATGACATTATATAGATAAGTTCTGCGAAAGCAGAATTTAAATTAAAGTTTGCGAAAAAAAGTTAGTTTTTAAGTGCAACCCCCAGCCTCCTGCCCCTCCAAATTAAGATAATTCAAATTAAAGTGGTACAATATTTAATTCACTGAAGTTTATCGACAAATTTCAAATTTTATTAAAAAAATTCAAGAATTACAGGTTTTATACCATTTATAATTTTTATTATTTCTATTACTAAATTTAAAAAAATTATAAATGGTATAAAACCTGTAATTCTTGAATTTTTTTAATAAAATTTGAAATTTGTCGATAAACTTCAGTGAATTAAATATTGTGCCACTTTAATTTGAATTATCTTAATTTGGAGGGGCAGGAGGCTGGGGGTTGCACTTAAAAACTAACTTTTTTTCGCAAACTTTAATTTAAATTCTGCTTTCGCAGAACTTGTCTATATAATGTCATTATAAACTCATATAAATTTGATGTGGGTCCCATGTCTAATAACTGAGATATGGGTGTGCCAAAATCCACCAGCCGCCACTGAATGATACACTCAGAGAAATATCATTTCATGAAAAGCATATGAAATGATATTAATTTAAATAATTAGGTAAATTTGATTCAAATAGAAAAAATTGTAGTTTTATATTCATTTACCAACAGTTTTACAATGTTTTTAAACACTTTTAAAGTGTACTCTTTTTAAAATATATATACAAAAAGAAATCTATTTATTTCATTGCCTTTCTCAACGTTATTTTAAAAATATATGTATTATACAATTGTTATACACCTTTTAATTTAATGAGAAACACCAATGACGCCAAAACATATTTTGGCGTCATTGGTGTTTCCCATTAAATTAATAGGTGCATAACAATTGTATAATACATATCTTTTTGAAACAACTTTGAGAAAGGCAATGAAATAAATGGATTTCTTTTTGTATATATATTTTAAAGAGGGTACACTTTAAAAGTGTTTGAAAACATTGTAAAACTGTTGGTAAATGAATGTAAAACAAAAATTTTTTCTATTTAAATCAAATTTACCCGATTATTTAAATTAATATAATTTCATATGCTCTTCATAACTTGATATTTCTCTCAGTGTAATTATCATTTAAAAAATATTTAAAATACCTTAAAAGTCTATATACCGATAGTTCAGAAGAAAAACTTTTTTATTTGTAGGTTCGGAAGACAAAAACATTCTTTATAATAAGTCTGCTGATCTTAAAACTACAGTTTCGAATATAGAAAAACCATATGATTTTGAAGATAAAGTTGATCCTTGGGTTCATTTTAAAGAATGGAAACAAAGAGAAATGGTTAAAAAAAATGATGTAGGTTCATAATCAGGGATGTAGCGAGGGGTGTGTTTACATCCTCCAACTTTTTAACTCAACATTTTTCGAGTTTTTGTTAATAAAACAGTTGTCATTTAAAAAAAATTACACCCTCCGTTATGAGAACCTACGATCCATCCCTGTTCAAAATTTAAATTGTTTTAAAACTTATTTTTCGGAGGAAAATTTAAAAAACCCTGAACTTGATATTAATTTAAGTTCAATAGTTTCCCCTAGCATAATAAGTGGTGTACCACTTAGCAACCCGTATAAAGACCTTTTTAAAATTAACAATGATGGCGTAAAGGATCTTAGGACTAAATTAAAGGTAATTTTTTTATGTACCTACACTACTTAAAAGCACTAGGAGACACTTGTAAATGTTAAAATATAAGTGAAGATTTTTAATTCTATATTGTTTTTAACAAAATCATTCCGATTTCTAATTTAAATTTGACATGTTCTTAAATACCAATCTTTGAACACACAGTAAAAAAATATTATTAATATTTCAATAGTTACAAGTGTTTCCTTATTTGTCTAGAATAGTTAATATAAGTACAAAATTGATTTTATTTATAAGCATCAAGGATATTATTACACTGAGAAAAAAATGGGACAAATAAACTGTAAACTTTTATTAATAGTGAATATATTGTTTATTACCTCTAAATAGTCGAAATAATAACGATAAATATACTTTAGTAAAACTTTATGTGTCGGGAATAAAAATATATTTAGGATAAATAAACTGTACCCTTGTCCCATATTTAAATATTTTTTTTATTTGGGAGCAATAAACTTTTTTCTCAGTGTAGAACATCACTTTTTCAGGATTCGGATTCTGTGACTAGCAAGAGTGAGGAAATTATAAAGCAACCAAAAATAACAGTGGTATTTGTTTTTTTTCTATTTTTTTATGAATTTAAAATTTTTTTTTATCAAGTTTCAAGGAAGGAATTTTTTCACAAATAAAAGTATGGTTACCAATTTAGACTATTCAGAAGATTTAAGTGAGCATGAGAATTTAAGTAAACAAGATGAAGATACATGTATTAATAAAAAATTAAATAGGACAAATGAAAACGCAATGGAGATAAAGGAGGAACTCAAATGTTATGTACAGGTAATTTTTTTTCCTATAAGTTAAAATTAAAGTTAAAAAGTACCAATTTTAAATGGATATAATTGACAAAAAAATAAAAAACTGTATTATTAATTTTACAACAAGTCATTCCTGCTTATTTGCTCTTTAAAAAAATAGATTTACTACACAAAAATTCAGATCAATGTATGGGTGTTAATAAATTAGGAAAACAAAAACATTTCAACCATTATTTATTTTTTTGTTCAAAATTTGTAAAAAAATAATCCAAAATAAAGACCAAATAAAAAATTTGAAATAGAATTTCATATGGAATAATCATTTTGTGTGATTATTTGCTGTATATAACAAAAAATTAAGTTAATGGATTTAGTAAACGTGAAGTTAACGTCAGGATTTTGTTTCTGTATTAAAAACTTGTGTCTGTATTCAAAATGTTAATAAGAAGAGCATATTTATTTATTACCATGCTACGGAGTTGGAAACATTTTTTAATACAGTCACAAAATTATGAGAGACATTAAACAAGCTTGTCTTAAGACGTTAACGTTACGTTGACGTTTACTAAATAGGCTAACTTAATTTTTTGCTAAACACAGCAAATAATCTTAAAAACCACCATAATTATTCCTTATAAAAAATGTAATTTTTATTTTAAATTTTGTATTTAGTCTTTATTTTAGATTTTAAGCAACTTTGTTTTTTACAAATTTTGTTTAAAAGAATAAATAAGTAAGGGTACTTCTTTCCTGAAGCATTTTTATGTTTTCCAAATTTATTAACATCCTGTATATCTGATCTGATTTTTTTTATAGTTTTTTGTTAAGCAGGAATGACTTTTAGTTATAAAATTAATAATAAAGATTTTTATGGTACACCTAGCAGAATTTTGTATAAAAAATGATTATTTGTTGTAAAATAAAAAATTGTCTCCTCTTGTTAACTCTATCCGTGGACACACTCTATACACCATGTTATGTGCTCACTATTGCTACCATTTTAACTCCGTTATTACCCAGGTACACTGACATCTGCTGACGTTTAAATGACGTTAGCATGCTAACGTTGCAACGTCATTTAAATCTCAGGAGACTTCAGTGTGCTATTGGAGCTACAATGTCGGTTAATTCAGCAAATTGGTGGTATTTTTTCTTCTTAAAATGGTGAATACAAAAAATAATTGAACGTCGGGTTTCCGAACTAATCACAAAAATATCATATTTTTAAATGGGAAACTATATTATTACATATTTTAAAAGACAATTTAATTTGTAACAAAAAAATATGATTGCGTAACAGTAATATTTTACTATTCTTAACTTAAAAATTAAATATTAATAAGCACTTAAACTTTCTTGTGGTTGTTAAAATAACCAAATTATTACTTTATTTTAACAACAATCAGAAAGTTAAAGTGCTTATTAATTCTATTCTATTTTTAAGTTAAGGGTAGTTATGTAATAATAATTTTTTGTTCCAAATTAAATTGTCTTTTAAAGTATGTAAAAATAGACAGGATATCACATTTAAAAAATGTTATTTTTGTGAATATTTTAAAAACTCGACGATCAATTGTTTTTATGTTTTAACCATTTTAATCAGAAGAAAAATTACAGCCAATTAAACCGACTTTGTAGCTCTAATAATAACGGAGTTAGCAATGATGAGCAGATAACTTTGTACACAGTGTATATTTTTAAAATAATAGCTATCATAACTCCCTCTATCCAAAAACAAAAAAAAAACCAAAAAATGCTTGAAGTCTTAATTAAATGATGAACTGTGAAAAGAAAATAATTTTTTTTATTTTGACATTTAAATTAAAATGGTATATTTCAATTAAAATGGTATATTTCAATTAAAATGGTATATTTAAATTAAAATGGTATATTTCAATTAAAATTTTCTGACACATTTTTCTGTAAAATACGACCCTTATATTTATAAGAACAGAAGGAGAATTAGTTCGTTTTTTTGCTTTATCGTCACCCTAATATAACAATGTTGTATGTTAAAAAACCGAACAATTTCAGTTTATGCTTCTACAAGGTTTTATGTAATCCACCCTTGACATACAACTTGAAAATACCTCTATAAATATTTATACATAGAATATACATTCTATAGAATTATTTTAAGTGGTATGTGAAGCGTAGGCCACGTATAATCCTGTAGAAACATAAACTTAATTTTTCATTTTTTTAACATACAAGTTGTATGATACAACCTTGTTATATTAGGGTGACGTTATAGTATTACAATTTTTTAAGTTTTTTTTTCAGGAAGATTATGATTTTAATTCTTATGCAACAAGCAAAGATTCTTCTGGTAGTGACATTATAATTCAACCAAAAATATTAGGGGTATGTTGTTTTCGTTTGTTTAATTCTAACAAGAATTTTAAAATTTTGTTTTTAGAAGTTTAAAGGTAGACAATTTAAAAGAATACTTACCAATTTTATAGACGATACAGACGATTTAAGCGAGCATAAGGATTTAAGTCAAAAAGATGAAGATACATGTATTAATACAAAATTAAATATCAAAGTAGACAACCCAGAAATAATAAATACAACAAATGAAAACGCAGTGGAAATTCGGAAAAAGGAGGAACTCAAATGTTACATAACGGTAATAATTGTTTGTTTTATAGTAGGTAGGTACTTATTAATAGTATATTGTGGAGCGTGGAGTCGGCAAGTGTAGCTAGTGCGGTCACACGCGAGTGGAATCTTTTTTTTAGCAATAGTCACACACAATATTTTATTCAACTAGCGCAAAGGATTTAAAATCAATTTTATTTTATGTTTTATTTGACATCTGATCACCGTCAGATAGTTTTGTCGTCATTTTTTTAAAATTGTAAATGCTATTTCGCTAGTGGGCAAAATAGCATTTCGCCCACAGGTTGCAGTTAAGAAATGAACAATCGAGTAATTAATTATTTTGCACACTCCTAGAAATACCACGAAATTACATATTCCTTGTGGGAGTTAAATAAAATTAAAATTTTTATAAACTATATAAAATAGTAAATTCTTGATGTTTTACGACCTTATTAAATTTCAATACATTTTAGAATCACCAACATAAAATAGAAATAAGTCGCCGAAACAGGAGAATATGGGACAAAAAAGATCGATGCATTTACTGCAATGTTGACGTAACTAATTTTTCAAGACATCTCTTTAGAAAGCATAAGGATAAAGATGATATTAAAGCAATATTAAAAATTCCAAAAGGTGGTTTGGAAAGAAAACAACGACTAAACTTGCTAAGGAATCAAGGAAACTTGCTAGTCTACTCAGAAAATGTTATAAGACCAGTCCAGAGACCAACTCTTGGTGCAGCAGATAATATTACATTTATACCATGCAAGTATTGCAAAGGCTTATATAAAAAACAGGCTCTTAACAGGCATGCCAAAAAGTGTGTTTATAATACTGAAAAAAATAAATCCGGTGCATATAAAAGTGAAGGTCAAACCTTGTTGGCTTTTTCCGAATCTAGAAAGCCATTTTTAAATAGACTTCGGCTGAAAACTGAAGTATTTAGTAAAATGCGCGCAGACAGAATTTCTCTAATGGGCAAAAGTGATCCGATTGTATGTCAGTACGCGGAGGATTATCTAAAAAAACATAAAAGGCCTCATATAGCAAACTTAGTAAGCAATAAAATTCGAGAACTGGGAAGACTTTTATTACAGTTGCAGGATCATTATAATATTCATTCCATCATACAGGCACTAAGACCTGAACACTTTGACAAAGTTGTCTCATGTGCTAGAATACTATCAGGATATAATGAAAGTACAAAAACTTTTGAAGCTCCTTCGTTAGCTCTACATTTTAGAACAATACTATTAGCTGTTTGTGACACAGCTTCAACCTTACTTTTAAAAAAAGATGCAATTTTGCCTGTAAGCAATTATGATGAATCATTAAAAGATTTAAAAAAATTTCGTAGTTTAGTTCAAAACAATTGGAAATTCGAAATGGGGAGTTTAGCTCTGAAAGATCTCACAGAGAAGAAATCACTAAATCCACAAACATTACCAGTCACAAATGATATTATAATTTTTAATCGTTATTGTTATGAAACAGCCAAAAAGGCAGCAAATGACCTTACAAATGATAATTTAAATATTAAAGCTTTTAAAAAGTTAACAGAAACTGTTTTATCATTGACTATATCATTAAATAGAAAAAGAATTGGGGACGTTCAATATACTAAAATCAAATCGTACACTGACATTCCGACTGAAAGACAAGACTTTGATTCATTAACAGAAACTGAAAAACAAATATCAAAGAATTTTAAAAGAATTGTTTCTATTGGAAAAGGCAGTAAACCAGTTCCTATTCTATTTCCCCAGAAAATTCAGGAGTTTATTGATTTACTGCTACTAGTTAGAAAAAAAACTAATAATGTTCCAAAGGAAAACCCTTATCTATTTGCACTAGTCGGAAGTTCTTCAAGATGGATTGATGGTTATAGTACTTTGCAAAGATATGCCCATTTATGTGGTGCGGAACATCCAGAAACAATAACTTCTTCCCGTTTAAGGAAACAAGTAGCGACTGTTCTGCAAATTTTAAGTCTAAATGATGTAGAAATGGAACAAGTAGCTACCTTTATGGGACATACTAAAAAGACTCATGAAGAATTTTATAGGTAAAACTTCATTAGTTTCGTTAATTATTTTAATATAAATAGAAGCCTACAATTATATACATTTTAATTTATTTTTGAACAATAAATTTGTATGTCGTTTTAGATTGCCTCAAGAAGTTTTTCAAACGTCAAAAATAACAAAACTGCTTTCAACGCTTATGAAAAAAGGAATTGATAAACATGATCAAGGAAAAACGATAGGGGAAATAGATACGGAATTAAATATCTGGGAAAAAAATGAAAATAAAAAAAGTAACTATAAAGAAATTTCAGTTTTATTTATTATTATGCTTATATCAAAAAGCGAGTCCAAAATCAGAACAAACAGTGCTGTGTGCAAACAATAAAAGTTGCATAATAGGTAGTATGCAAAGTTGTAGGTACTTTTATATCATGAGATAAATACATTTATGCAAAGTCGTTACATTTATAATTTAAAAAATTTTGTACTTTTAAATCATTAGATAAATACATTTTTAAAAAGTCGTTACATTTATAATTTAGAAAATTCTGTACTGTTTATTCTTATCTTGGACAGCAGATATTTTTATGTTTTTAAAAATGGATTTAATTTTAGCTTCTAATAATAATGATCCAAGTACCTCTGCAAATAAAAGTGACATTATTTCCGAAAATTCTAGTTCTGATAACGATGAAAAATTTGGAAAAAAACGTAAGGTAAAAAATTTAAAAAAATCATATTTCTCCTTGTGAATAACTAAATAAAAAAAATTGAATTTTGGAATTTGTGGCTAAAATGTAACTTCTTAAAAGTGCACGTTTTTTATTAATAATCAAATATTTATATTTAAATAGGTTTCAAAAAATAATTTAGAAAGAATGGATATAAATAAAAAAACCCGAAAGGAAAGTGACAATATTATCGAAAATTCTGATTCATATGACTCATCACATGAAAAAATTGGAAAAAAACATCAGGTAAAAAAAAAGAAATCATCTCTCCCTTAGTTATTAATAAATAAATAAAATAAATCCTTGAGTGCACAATTTTTATTAATTATAAATATTTATGACTCATTAAAAATATTTTGCGCAATGGGTATGATGTAAAATCCCAAAAAAGAAAACAAACAATTATTTTTAATACAAGTTTTTGGAATGGATTGGTAATTATCAAATATTGTTAAAGAAAAATCGTAGAAAATAAAAAAAAACTTGTATGGAAAATAATAGTTTGTTTAATTTGTTTCTTTTGCGGGATTTTACATCGCATGTTACTTAGAATCAGGCTATTTTTCCCATAATATTTTCCTAATTTTGTTTTTCCATGTATGTAAAATTAATTACTTTTTACTTGAAGGTTACAAAAAAGATTTCTGGAAAAGAGGAAAAAAACACACGAGGATCTTGGAATAGACAACAAAAATTAATTATGAGTAACTATTTTAAAAAACACCTAAAAGAAAAAAAACCTCCAAAGAAGCATGAATGCCTTAGTTTAAAGGAGAAATACTCCGACATTTTTGAAATGAAAAGTTGGGTGCAAATTAAAGTTTTCATTTATAATACCTTTAGAAAGTGAATAAATTTGTTATTTTGTTCTCTATGGCACGCCGTTTCACTTTTTAATCGGATAAGAAATATTAAGTTAAATATTAATACTTTAAAAATAAATTGCACTGGAAAATAATACCTTTAAAATAATACATTAATTAGAATTATACATGTCAAAAAAGTTATTCTTTTTTAAAATATGTTTATATAAGATGTTAAATTATTTATTTAATGTAACTTTTCTGTGTGAAATATTTTTGTGACACATTAATATTTAACTTAATATTTCTTATACAATTAAAAAGTAAAACGGCGTGCCATAATTAATTTTATGTGTACGCATAATTTTAATTCTAATAAAAATGATACAATTAATTTTATGTGTACACATAAAATTAATGCACTGAATTTTTATTATGTAATTAAAATTATGACTATGTAATAAAAATCTTAGAATTAATTTTATTGTAGAGATAAAATTATATAATTAATTTTATCACTGTGATAAAATTATATAATTAATTTTATCAATGTGATAAAATTAATTTAGCGCTTTGGAGTGCGGCCGAAAGTGGCAACTGCAGTAGATCATATAGTAGGCATGTTTAATTTATCAAAGTTTGTCTAGTTTGGCGCCAATATGCGAGAGATCTGTTTGTGGTTTTTGTGTTATTGATTGTTGGAACTGTTCTCAAGCCTGCCTGAGCTTATAAATCCTTAAAAATAAGTTTTGTTCAATATAAAACATATACTATGCACATGAACTACTGCAGTTGCCACTTTCAGCCGCACTACCACAGCGCCGAATTAATTTTATCTAGATAAAATTAATTATATAATTTTATCTGTACAGATAAAATTAATTCTATAAGTTTTATTATTTAAAGTCATAATTTTAATTGTAACATTAAAATTCATTGCATTAATTTTATGTGTACACATAAAATTAATTGTATCATTTTTTATTAGAATTAAGAATTAGAATTATGTGTACAGATAAAATTAATTGTAAAATAAAAATGATTGTCGTGTTATAAATTGGAAATTGCAACTTAAAAAAATAATAGAATAAAATAAAATAGTTTAAAAACCTTGTTTACAAAAAAAATTGTTCAACAATGTTTTTAGTCTCTAAAAACATTGTTGAACAATTTTTTTTGTAAACAAGATTTTTAAACTATTTTATTTTATTCTATTTTTTTTAAGTTGCAATTTTCTATTTATAACACGACAATCATTTTTATTTTACAATTAATTTTATCTGTACACATAAAATTAATTCTAATAAAAATGATACAATTAATTTTATGTGTACCTACACATAAAATTATTGCAATGAATTTTAATGTTACAATTAAAATTATGACTTTACATAATAAAAATTTTAGAATTAATTTTATCTGTACAGATAAAATTATATAATTAATTTTATCTAGATAAAATTATGTAATTAATTTTATCTAGATAAAATTAATTCGGCGCTGTGGTAGTGTGGCTGAAAGTGGCAACTGCAGTAGTTCATGTGCATATGTTTTATATTGAACAAAACTTATTTTTAAGGACTTATAAGCTCAGGCAGGCTTGAGAACAGTTCCAACAATCAATAACACAAAAACCACAAACAGATCTCTCGCATATTGGCGCCAAACTAGACAAACTTTGATAAATTAAACATGCCTACTATATGATCTACTGCAGTTGCCACTTTCGGCCGCAATCTAAAGCGCCGAATTAATTTTATCACAGTGATAAAATTAATTATATAATTTTATCTCTACGATAAAATTAATTCTAAAATATTTATTATATAGTCATAATTTTAATTACATAATAAAAATTCAGTGCATTAATTTTATGTGTACACATAAAATAATTGTATCATTTTTATTAGAATTAAAATTATGCTTACACATAAAATTAATTATGGCACGCCGTTTTACTTTTTAATTGTATAAGAAATATTAATGTGTCACAAAAATATTGCACACAGAAAAATTACATTAAATAAATAATTTAACATCTTATATAAACATACGTATTTAAAAAAAGAATAACTTCTTTGACATGTATAATTCTAATTAATGTATAATTTTAAAGGTATTATTTTCCAGTGCAATTTATTTTTAAATTATTAATATTTAACTTAATATTTCTTATCCGATTAAAAAGTGAAAAGGCGTGCCATAGTTTTATGTAAAATGTATTAAATAAAAAAAAATTTAAATCGAAAAATAAGTTATGATTAGGGATTTGTATTTTGTTTATATTTACTTTATATTGTACCACTAAATAAACAATAATTTATTTAATGTATTTTCAATTATTTACGGTAACTCCATTAAAAATGGTAAAATAAAATAACGGTTTAATTAATATTGAGTTTTATTGGTAAATAACCTTATTAACATTGTTATAGGTACTAAAATATTTTAACTATCAAACTAAAATCACAACATTTATTACTGGTACAAGTTAAAGGGGTCAATTACTTTGCCGTTTTTTTTTTTAAAAACATTGTTAAACGTTATTTTCAATTTAGTGCGCTCTATTTTTAACATTGAATTTAAGAAAAAGTGGCAAAGGAAACCATGAATTTTGCAAGGTTTGTAGTTTTTTGTGTTTTTTAATGCAAAACAGTTTTTCTAAGACAATCAATGTTAAAAAAGTTATTTCAGTTATTCAGTGTGCTCTGAATTGTCTATCTTTAATGGAACATATTTTTTTAACATTGATTTTGGAAAAAAATGGCAAGGGAAAACATGTTTTTGAATTTTGCAAGGAATCAACCCCTTTAATTTGGGACAGTAATTTTGGGATAGGGAGCGTTCAAGTATTACGTAACGCAATTTTTGGAGATATTTAACCCCCCCTCCCCCCATGTAACGCGCCGTAACGTTGTTCTGTACCCCCCCTAGTAAAACGTTACGTAACCACCAAGTGACTATTTTTACCTAAAAATCACAATTATGTGGCGTAAAGTACCGGAAAGTCTGAAGGGTTAAAATATAATTATGTAACGTAACGCGTAGTTCAAGCCCCCTTCCGCCCCTGTAACGCATCGTAACGTTTTACAAAACTCCCCTCCCCCCCAAATTCGTTATGTAACACTTGAACGCTCCCATACCCAGTATATACAAGTGTTATAGAAAAATTCTTCATCAGGATAGAGGAACTACGATAAGTCAAATTTTTCAACTTATTTTTGCACAGTTGTTTAACCAACACTGGATTCCAACTTCTAGGAGTTGAAAGTCTTGGCAGGATACAATCAAAAACAAATGTCACATGCAATCTGGTCATAAACAAACATATCCATTTTTAAAAGTTGATTTTTTAAATACTGAAATTATTTTGATCATGATGGCTTATTCAGGCATGCTAGGAAGCCTAAGAGGATATAGAAACAAGCTTTATATTGCAAGAATTTAATGTACTTAATTTTTTTGCTCCTGAATTTTTTTATTAGAGGGACATAATTAACTGAATGCTCCTGAACTGAACAAAAAATTAATACATTTTTGTTTAGCACGAAAATGTTATTTAACACCTTTATCCATCAATTAGGTATAAAAATATAAAATTCAAAATTTTAAAAATGTGACTTACCTACCGTAGTTTCTCTATCCTGATAAAGATCAATTTTTCTATATATAATTTGTATATACTGGGTGTCCCAAAATCATCTCTAAATTAAATTCCTTGCCAAATTCATATTTACTTACCTTTAAATAAAGCCAATTCAGAGTGCACTCTTTTAACATTGATTTGGCAAAGGAAAATGTGTTAGAAAACTGTTTTGCATTAAAAAACACAAAAACCTGCTACAAATACAGCTGTAATTTTGATATAACAAATATTTAAAAAACGGCCCATTTTAGTCACGTAGATAGTCTGAAACAAAACAAAATTATTAAATAGGTAGTTAATAAAAGGACTAATTAGTTAAGTATCTTACCAATCAACATGTAGAATTAATTACAATATTGTGTCAAGTATTGTCTGACCATAAACAAACAGGAACTTTGGCTTTTGTTACACAATCTACAAATAAATTTGATAATAATTAAAGAAACATAACCTCACTAAATTAATATTTAAATCATACCTCATATTTTGTAGCCAATGTACCACATTACAGCGTAATTTATTTATTACATGTAGTTAAACATCCAGATAATAAATCATTACAAATCTTAGGTTTTGTCTAGGGGTTTTGCACCATTTCGTATTAACAAACACAAAAACAATGATTTTGACACAAACTTAAAAATACACATGTAAATATTCAACACAACTGTTACACAACCTTAGAAGAAAAGAACAGAACATGTAAACAACAAAGACGGCTGCCACCATTCGCAATGCGATGTTGCCATGATTGTCGGATCTCACGATGATCGTAATCTTAAATTTTTTAAAGCGACATCTATGAACAAACTATTAAACCCAATTTGTATAAAAATTGAAATAAACCTTACATTTTGAGCTCCGGTCAAATTTTTGCATTTATGCGTTTAAGATAGCTATTCAAATGCACTAGGAAATACAGTCAAAACATGTCGAGGTCCGTTTTTGGATCTCTCCTTGAAAATCGGATCTCGAGACGTTGATGTTTTAACACAAATGGATCCCGGCTTGTGTGATAAACATATCTATATATATATATATATATATATATATATATATAAATATAGTATATATATATATATATATATATATATATATATATATATATATATATATATATATATATATAAATATAGTCTCAGGCAATTTGGATTTCGTTAATATACCAGTTTGTATTAAATGTCTTAAAGAAGATTTTAAGCCATTATTCATATTTTTAGGTGAATTTAATTTTTGGACAGGTGGGGCTTTAGGTTTCCACGGGCGTTTTCGTGCTGTCGGTTTTTGGTTCTTAAAAGAACCGTATGTCTGACGACGTATACAATCTCATATATATCGGATGACCAAGGGGGGTAAATTTTGACCCCAATGTATATTTTTCTTGAATAAACTCTTAAATATTTTTAATTTTTAACTGATTATTTTTTTATTTGACTATATTATTATGCCAAGTATCTTTATATTTTGCATAAAAAAAAATTACAAATATTTTTCATTAA